AAGCGGTCAGAATGGGAGCGATGTGTCCGCCGGAGAGCGTGAAGATATGCTCGACTCCATGCGATTGCAACACTTTGGCCACCAGTTCTCCGCCGTGTCTTAAACTCTTTTCGTCCACCTTTTGACAGATTTCAGACATTTTTGCGTTAGTTTTATGGCATTTGATAAAACATTTTGATTATTAAAACATTAAATATCAGTGAAAAACACATAATATATAAACTTTTTTTCCCTTTCATTGCAAACTTATGGACACATCATATCTGATCCGATCTGTGAACGAATGTAAGGCTATCTGAGAGTAGATATAAAGTGGGAAATGAAAACCGATGGGGAAATGATGAATGAATGGCATATTTTGATTGTTAAAAATGCAAAAATTGCGATCCTTTTGACCAATTTTTGTACACAATATACCAATTCATTAACGTTTAGCCCATTTAGCGATGAATGCAATCATAATTACGGGATTTGGGATTGAAATGAAAAGTCAATTTGCAATGCATTAGAGAGGGGACAGGGGTTTGGCATAAAGGGGTCAATTGGACTGTAATTGTTGAGCAAATTGTATGTCAAATAACAACAACTCTAAGAGTTGTTACGAAACAGACAGACATTGGTTTTGATTGATTTGTTGCGTAAAACACATCGAAAAACACAAACCAATGATTAGTAATATTTGCATAAATTATTGCAAAAAACAACACAACAAAGAGTGAGAGAAAAGTCATGAATTAAATGCAATGGTAAGTGAGTGGTAGTGATTGGGAGTGGAAGTGATTGGAAGTGATGTATAATTACTTTATGGAAGTAGTGGTAGAAGATGTTGGCCCTCCGGAGCCACATATTGATGATCATGAAGAGTGGGTAAAATGTTTGCGCCACACATATAGCGATCATTAAATAAAAGGCCGCACATGTGAACAGTGATGCCCACGACTGCCCAGACATACCCACCACTGATGACAACACATCCATTCAATACACAGTCTATGTATACCACTGTATGTCTGTATAGTGTATAACACACTGTTTATAATGTACTCAAATGTATGTACAAATTCAATGACACCAACAAACACTGATGTCTGGCTATTTTGAATGGTTATGTGTTTTTTTATATACACTCTCTGTTTATCGCGATTTAGTTTTTGTCACTTTTTCTTCAAACACAAGACGTTTTTGTGTTTAAAGTTTTAATACACTTTGTATTGAATGCAAACAAACGATTAGATTATGGCTTTCGGTTGAGAGAGAGTTAAAAGTTCAACAAGTTTTCGATGCATAGCCTATGCGTGCGTTGCGTTCCCATAGAGACACACACTTTGCGTGTGTTTGACACACACATAGTGTACGACCAGATATAGAAATACAACGTTTATATGGTTTACAAAAGTTACCATGTATTTAGGTATTTAGACCCCGTACGGTAATCCTCGACCCCCTTTAACAGGCATTTTATTTGAATGTTTCTAGTTACATTTTGTACTTAATCGTAGTACTTTTTTAAGATTAGATATTCAGGGCATAGTATACTGGAAATATGATTAACAATAGTGTAGTTTTATTAATTTTAATTTATTAATTAGAAATATTATTATTTAGATTAAATGTTCTAGATGTATTGGTAATTTGTACATTTCGTACATTTAGGACATTATTGGTTTTAATTTATTTATTATAATTTGGTGCCAAAATCATTAACGTAATATATTTTTATATGGATTATTCATCTCGGATGTTGTCTACACTGTTATATGGTTTAAGTATTCACAATTGCTCCTCAAATTTTTGGATAAATACATTCAACCAAAATGAGTAAAACTTGCAAATGTGTAAAACTATTTAACCACTTGTGG